TAAATAAATAAAAGGCTAGAGAAATGGCTCAACAGTAAAAGCATATACTGCTCTTCCAGAGTTAGGCTCCCAGCACCCAGTCAAGTGGCTCACAGCTGCCTGTAACTCCAGCTCCAGGGGACACAATGTTTCTGGACAAATACACACACAATTGAAAATAATAAATATTTTTAAGATCATAAAATAAAAAATTGCCATCAATAATACTAAATCAGAAGAAGATTAAATATACATATATGTACATGCAACACAAAGGTCAAAATCCAACTAATCAGGGACTGGAGAGATGGCTCAGCCATTAAAAGCTGTTGCTCTTCCAGGGGACCCAAGTTGGGTTCCCAGCACCCACCTTCAGTGGCTCACAACCTGTAACTCCAGTTTCAGAGGATCTGATACCCTCTTCTGGTTTCCATAGGCATCTGTACACACTTAGTTCTCACTCTCTTGCTCTCTCACTTGCACAGACGTAGCACTCTCACACACACATAAACAAAAATAAATCTTTAAAAATAAAGCCAAGTGACCAAACATTATCTTTCCCAAAAATAGGCTTTTATTTCTGAAAAAGAAATCTTCAGTATATTTTAAAACCACCGAGATACAAGCATTATATTGCCTTCTAGCTTGATTCTAAATGCTATAAGAAAAACTTCTTTAATTACCAAGTAATTTTTTGCATACTTATTTAAAACCTCCAATCATATTACTATAAACAAATTCCTCTGTAAGAATTCTTTTTGCTTTAGGAAGTGTAACAAGGGCAGAAAACACCCTTTCTGCCCTACGCTACAATGTATGCCCACAAACATTGTGATAATTAAACTCTACCAACCCCTGTGCTAGATCCCATCAGAAAAAAAAAAAAAAATCCACAATCTTAACACAACCAACGGTAGAAATTCTCTATACAGAAATTTTCCTCACTGAGGAAAAATGCGGGCAAATCACCACGCAACGAAGAAGCTGCTGATATAATGAAGTCATTGTGTTCTTAACCTGAATCTCCGTACAAAGCAGAGGAGCTTGAAATGATGTGGAAATGGAGGAGAGAAATCCCTATCCACAGGGGGTAACTACATCATGGTTACAAACTGCCCTTCTTTACACCCTTCTGAATACCAAACACATCTTAAAGCACTACTGCACTACAACTGAGCTCCTTTCACTTGTGGTATAAAGAAAGTATGCCCACCGCAACCTTGGCACCAGTAACCCAATTACCAGTCGTCGCTATTTACGCAAATCACTTTGCTGTAGGATTCTCTCACCACGTAATAAAAGAATTAAGGGAAAATGGCAAGTGCTATGATCTCGAAATAATTTTGCTGAATCATAAATATCCCCTAATGTAAAGCTGCAGGAGACGCTGAAGCTGGAGTACAGGCGGCCATACCTCAGCATGAAGCTCCTCTCCAAAAATGTATACCCACCTTCACTTTTTCCTTAAGGACAGGCATGGATCTTATGTTTAACGCTTTCACAGCATTGCTTCAACAGCAAGATCGTGCGTGCAGTTAGCAACATCCACTGGTTTTGTAGCAAAGAGAAACACGTTCTATCATCACGAGCACCGCCAAGGGCAAATGCAGCCCCCCGCCCGGGAACAGGGAACACAATGGGCACCCCTGGCTTTGATTGCCCTGGCACTCGGACCCTACCACCCCGCACCGTGGAGCCAGCATGGAGCCCTTGCTCCGGAGTTACCCGGGCTACACCAGGGCGGATGCCGGCCGCACAGGCCCCCGGGCGCGGCACTCACCTCGGTGGACCCGCGTTCAGCCTGTGCCGCGGGGTCTCGCTGCCCAGCCCACTCGTCCCTTCAGCGTGCGCCTCGTGGCCCAGCTTACCGTTTGCTCGGGGCCGAGCAGCCTGACCCTCCCCGGTCCACTTCTCCACACCACGCAGCGTTGGTTGGTTCCGCACCCCGCGCTTCTAGTCCACACGCTGCCACCTACTGATGCCGAAAACGGCTTCTAGGAACGCGCCATGTTCCGCGTCGCCACTCGGAACGACGCGGGCGCGCTAAAATTACGTCACACTCCCGGCGTGCACCGGAGAGGCCAAGGGCGAAGACAGTAGGATAGCGGCAGGAAGGGAGGGTGGAGCTCCAGTTCGAACTCCGAGGCGCCCACTAGCTGGCCCAGCCCTGTGCGCTTGCGCAGTATGCGGAGCCTGGAGCTTGGCCAAGCAGACCTGTAACTATGGAAACTCTATGTCCCTGGAAAATCAATTGTCTCCAGGTTGATTGAAGCTTAAGTCAAAACCATTGAATCTTCACTATCCTAAATATCAACTGCTTGTGTTATAGGTCTATCACAGCAAAGGGGAGTTATTAGAAGAATCTCATCAACTAGACCTCGGCCCCCATGAGTGTTATTACAAGTTGGTGCAGTGCTTTGTTTTGTTTGATTTGGTTTGGTTTGTTGGCTGAATGATGTAGTCGAGGCTGGCTTCACACTCTTTATGTAACTGAGGATGGCCTTCAAATCCTAACTCTCCTCCACCTCCTAGGTGCTGAGACTACAGGTTTATGTCCCCCAGGACCAGCATATTAGGAAGGATCTTCATGCTTTTTGTGTCAATTCATCCTCTTACTAATGTGTCTATAACCTATACTGCACTCTGACTGGAGGTCAAAGTGAGATGAGCTCTCATAGTGAATCCCCTGCAACCTTAGCCCAAAGCACACTTCTTCCTCCATTGACCAGGACTTCTTTATTTTTATTTATTTGTATTTTATGTGTATGAATGTTTTGTCTGGGTGTATGTAAGTACACCATGTGCATGTGCATGGGGAAGCCAGAAGAGGACAGTGGATCCCCTGAAACTGGAGTTTTGGGTGTTGTTCACCACCATAGGTGTGTTAGGAACCAAACCCAGGTCTTCTGTAAGATGGAGCAAGTGCTCTTAACTACTGAGCCATTTCTCTATCTCCTGACCAGAACTTCTTTGAGCTCCTTTATATTTTAGTCTACTGTGGCATCAGGGCTCATGAATACCTATTAGCTATTTTCACTGAAAGTTTTGCCACCTATAATGATCTGATAAAGTTATATTTCCTAGTGTAATGTTACATTCAAAGAAGTTCTCCAATTAACCTTGTTATGAAAAGGAGAAAGGAAAATGAGTGCAAAACTAAAGGGCCAGTGGGACAGAAATGTTCACTGTCATCTGAACTCAAATGGGAAATCAGCCAGGAGCCTTATCCAGGAATAGATTACCAAGTTTGGACTATAGAAGCTGAACTCCTTGTTCAGTATAGAAACTACACTATAAATTCTAAATGGTGCAGAAGGTTACAACCCCACTATACTGGCAGCTTAAGGATTTCACTGCATCTCAGGAGTAGGGGCTGATGCCTAAGGACATGACCATTTTCTTTATATTAAAAAAAAAATGTATGCTAGCATGGTAGCACACCTTTAATCCCAGAACTCAGGAGGCAGAGGCAGGCGGATCTCTGTGAGTTCAAGGCCAGCCTGGTCTACATACTGAGTTCCAAGACAGCTAGGACTACAGAGAGACGCTGTCTCAAAAAGACTAAATAAAATAAATAATAAATAAATAAATAAATAAATAAAAATTGGAAAAGTAGAAAAGCAAATATCCATGAGTCCACATCGATTAAAAAAAAAAAACCATTATGACTGAACAAATTAATAAGTGAGGGAGGAGAAACAAATCTATCCTGTGGAATTCCAAATAGTTTACAAAGGCACTGCACTTCCAGGGAGGCAGCAGTGGTACTCCCCACTACGGTGTGGGCCACATGCAGTGACTATCTTTTAAAGAATACAGTCTAGAAATCAGAGTGGGGGAAGGTGTATTAGTGACCTTATGATGGAGAAGCCTGAAAAACTACCTCAGCCAAATGATCAAGGTCAAAATGAGTCACATATCCTGTTGATAGTATGTAGTCTTCATAGAATAGTATAAAAATGATATTTTTTCAGGGCTGGAGAGATGGCTCAGCAGTTAAGAACACTGACTGCTCTTGCAGAGGATCTGGGTTCAATTCCTAGCACCCACATGGTGGCTATGA